AGTGGATTAACTACTTCCTGCAAAACCAAGTTATGCAAATAATCCAATATATATGGATGCGCTCAAGCACACATAGACAATATAAGCCGTTTAATCTGGATCTTGTACATAACGGATTAACCTCGGGCTCTGATACCATTGTTGGAACCTATGAGGATCTCGATATGCACAAATCACGGATAAACATTCAACATAAACTTATGCGCAGTGGATCTAAAGGTTTGATGTAGAAAACTTACGACTTAAAATTTATGTAGATCTGGCTGGCCCGAACAGATGACCGCAAATCAAATCTTCTCGGAATCGAACGAACTTGACCAATCTAGAAAGCTGGCATCACGGCGATGTCAACGGCGTTGACCAGTCGGAAAATGGAGCATTCACGCGCTCTCACGCGCGCGTGTGAGTCCCAGCAGCAGCAAACTTCCGGCGGTGCGTGTGGGTGGGTGCGGCGGCGGCTGGCGGCAATCTCGACGGCGATCTCTTCGACTCGTCGTCCTGGTCGTCGTGGTATGGTCACTTGCTGGTTTTGGTCTTCGGTTTGGATGGATGGTAGATTTGATTGGAATCCCGTATATACCTTAAGATCTTCTACTGTATTCTCAAACAGCTATCTAGATCTTGTATCAGTGGAGCACAAGAAATAGAACAACTCCTTGGAAGAGAGAGAGAGAGAGAGAGAGAGAGAGAGGTGGCGGACGAATTCCAAGGCTATGGGATTGTCTCTTCTCTTCCATGAGCCTAATGTTGTATATATAGAGCTACAGTAGGGACCCTAAGGAGAATAGGACAAGGGCTTCTAATATATTAATACTGTGGAGCAACCCCACAATTAACATATTAATAATATTAAAGTCCACCACAATAATATTATTGCACTCCCCTCACCTACCCAAATTACATTTGAGACTCCTTATTATAATTATCCGATTTACCTCCCCATGTTTAAGATATAATGTCTATTAATTATTTCGATCACTAATTGCAACGCCCCGTTTGTTTATGAATAATTTGGATTATTATTATTATTATTATTATTATTA